GGAATTCTGGGAGTTGAAGTCCACTCATCTTAAAGTGGCCAAGTTTGGACAACACTGCCCTAAGGGAATCGCAACCCTTGATTGTTTGTGGCAAAGCATGTACCTTCTTTGAATAAACTCTTTGCAAGTGCTCCAACTATCTCTTTGAAGTATGGAGAGTCTCCTAATTTATGGTTGCCTGCCCCTGAAAAACTAGTATTCCCATCCTGTTACCCCCCCCCCCCACTACTGTACTAAAATGTTAATCTGATTTTTCTGTGGTCAATGTTTGCTACACATACAGAGGTAAATTTAACTTGTTGAATAAGCCACCATACCCTTACTCATGCATTTGTATTAATACAAAACCGAACAAATCACATTATGATATATATGTGAATCCAGTTTCTAAACTGAAATTGAAACACCTTGTATCTAGCATGAATGCACAGGAATACTAAGGCATGTAGCTATCTCTTTCACATACTAAATTGGTGTAATATAGTTCAATTCTATCTAGGATTATTTTATAGAACTTTAACTGAAAGAATAACCTTACGGCTTTTTCAACTGACAAAAGGGAGATGATTGCATATAGCACGCATATATTCGTAGTGACCTCTACATGATTTTAAATTTACTGCATTAAGCAAAGCAAGAAAAGAATTGTATCCAGAGACAGTAACAAATCATCTTAATCACCTGATGTTATCATCACTTCTGTGCTGTTAATAATGTAAGCCAGGGCTACGCAATCTTTTTTTACATGGGTGCAGAGCCTTTGCGACCTTGAGATATCCCTGGTTTTGAGGGACAGTTTGAAGCATAGTGCTGTGTGTGACCCAGGCCATTTGTTTTAGCCAAAAACAAAACAAAAAGGCTAAAAATTGCACTGCTGAAAATTGACTATTTTGCTGCCAAATTTTGGTGTTGTGAACTGGAGGCACTGGGAAGACTGCAGAATGTGTCTAGAGTTGTATTCAGCCTGTGGATTACCACTTTAGTGTCAGTAAATCAACAGGTGGATTTCTGTTAACTTGGTGCCACGCTTTTCACTATTCATCATTTTATTTTGAAATACCAGTTTCAGAATCATATTTACCAATGGAATTAGGGGTAAAATTGGAGCTTAATGTAGCCTTCGGGGAACAGTGTATGAAGCAACATCAGAATCTCTAATAAGTGTTTATTTTTGATCCTTCGTTTTGTGGAACACAAAGTTGTGAAAGCAAGGTCTTCCGTAAGCCACCAGCCCTGCCAGCACCTCTTTAGTAAACACTGCCATTCTTTCCTAGAATCAAAAGGGGAAGAAGCTGATCCAAATTTCTAGCTGATGAAGAGTTAAATGTTTCCATGGAGACTTGTTGCAGTTTGGTACTT